ACGAACATAGAGTGATAGAGGTGACTGCAGAGTTGAAGGAGCAATAATAGCTTTTTGTTATATATTTCTTTTTTTTTTTCTAGCAGGATGCCTTGAGACTACAAACCTCAGATCTCCCTTCTTCTGGATTTTTTTTTTGTTTTTTTGCATTCTGTTTGTATGATTTTTTTTGCCCTGCCAATGTTGGGGGTGCTATGACCCAAGCCATGGAGGACCTGGAATCTGGGTATGAAATGGTGGATGGAGTCAGGTTGGGCTACCTGGTCATCAAAGGCAAGCAGATGTTCGCCCTGTCCCAAGTCTTCACAGACCTCCTGAAGAACATCCCCAGGACCACGGTGCACAAGCGCATGGACCATCTGAAGGTAAAGAAGCACCACTGCGACCTGGAGGAGCTCAGGAAGCTGAAAGCCATCAACTCCATCGCCTTCCATGCGGCCAAGTGCACTCTGATCTCCAGGGAGGACGTGGAAGCCCTCTACACCTCCTGCAAGACTGAGAGGGTCCTAAAGACCAAAAGGAGGAGCAGAGCCCTGCCAACAAAGGAGCTGCCTGGGGAGCCCCCATCCCCCGACCCTTACTCCGGATTTTGGAAGGAGAATAAAGTTTGGCTGGGCTTGAATAAGACCGGCCAGCCAATGAAGAGAAAAGCTTTCGCTGCCCGGGACTTGCTACCGGCGGCCGATCTACCTCACTTTTTAAGTCAATACACTGGCCGCGGCTACTCGGGGCTACCCAGGTCGCCTTGCAAACCCCCCCTAGACTATGAAACCGCTCAGATCCCCGGGGACTGTGTAGGAGCTTTCCATGGCAGCCTGCCTTATATCAGGGGAGTGCTGTGCAGCAAGCACCCTGCCTATTACTACCACCACCACCATCATCACCACCACCAGTCGGCCATCGCCCACACCAAGCTAGCTGGCTTCACTTACAGGTACAAGAGGAAAAGGACTTCTGCGGGCAAGGATCCGTACCAGGGCGAGCTCTTCTTCATCCCCAAGCCCTACAGATCCAAAGGGGCCCCGGTGTGCCTGGAGAGGGTTCACTTGGTCAATGGCTTCTGCCCGCAACACCTGGGCACGCTGCAGGACGGCTACACCAGCGACTCGGAGTCCAGCTCGGCTAACGATTCCGACTTCGGTTCCAGCCTGTCCAGCAGCAGCAACAACTCCTCGGACGAGGAGGAGGAAGAAGAGGAGGAGGAAGAGGGCAGCCTGTCTGACTCCACTGAGGTCAGCTCAGATGAGGAGAGCTCCTCTGAGTCGGACAGCAGCTCGGTGTCCAGCCAGGTGTCGGTGGAGAGTATACGTTTCCGCAGGACCAATTTTTCCAACAAGCCCCCCCAGCAGCCCCCTTGCCAGGAGCCCAGGTCCCCTAGCCCCAGGGCTGCTGCTACTACTCACTGTGACATCAAAACTGAAAGCCAAGACTGGAGCCAGCAGGGCTGGGGATGCAGGGCCCCCGGGACCTGCCCTGCAGACTCCCTCTCTGACCCCAGAGCTCCATACCCATCCCCTGGATTCTCCTCTTCTCATGCAAAAAGGACTGAGCCGGCCTGCGTTCCCGAGGGGGGCTCTGCACCTAGCCCAAAGAAAAACAATGCATTCCCACAACAAAGGCTACACAAGGAGGCAAAGCCATGCCTCCAGCCACCCCTCAGCCAGTGTGTGGATAGGAGCCCACCCAGGTCCCCCAGCTGCGTCTCCGCTGAGAGCGCGGACAAGGGCGCCAGGACGCCCACGCCAGCGGACCCCCCTTCAGGCTCCGGGCAGGCTGCGGACCGGGGGGACCCATGCACTGATCCCCCCTTCCCGCACAACGTCAAGATTAAAATAGAGGACAGCAGCGAGGAGTACGAGCTCGCCGCCCAGCCCAAGCTCAGCTACGAGTGCAATGTCGCCAAGGACGAGGATGACAGCGACGGGAGCGAGTCCAGGAGGCAGGGGGCTCTGCTGGAAGGCGACCGGCAGGACGCCGCCGACTGCACTGACGACCCGCAAACCACTTCGCAGGATCTGCTGACTCCCAGCCAGGCCCCTCCATGCACTTTAGACACGACCCAGAAGCCTGAGGACGGAGATTACAAATACGGTGCTAAGGTCAGGAAAAATTACAGGACACTGGTGCTAGGAAAAAGAGCCGCTTTGCAGTCGCCACCGCCAACCACCAGCAAGCCAAATCAGAAATCAGCCAGGAGCCCACGACCCCCAGGTAAAAGTGCATTTTATGAAAGGACACTGGAGGCTTTCACAGTGACCAATAGACGCAAAAGGTTAGCCAACAATGTAGCATCGGCAGTTAAGAGACCTTTTAATTTCATGGCAAATTTCCCCAGTCCACCATCATTGATTATTGGCAAAGACGGAGATCTAGTCCCTGCCTACTCCTTAAAAAGCACAAAGGACTGCTTCCCACCCCAGAAGGCCCATCCTATCTGGAAATGGCATTTGGGTGGAACTGCATTACCTCCATCAAGTCAACCAATGCTGGTGTAAAATGATTTCCTTAGTAAATAAGCCTTTTAAATACCAGACACATGAGCCATTGCATTTTCTGCACTAGATTTTGTAAAGTCACAGTCTAACTGTTTTAATTGGTTGCACAGTAGGGGACATCCCTTAATTATATTGTGGCAGTTTTTGGTTTTTTTTATAATTCGATTTTTTTTTAATTCAATAGCAGTTGCACTTATCTCACGTTTTTTTTTGGACTGGAACGTTTTTGAGGCCTGAGTCCAGGCCTTGATTAAAAAAATAAGCTGCCTCATCAACTGGTGAAATAAATACTGTCTTTTGTATTTTGTTAAAAGCTGTCTTTTTATTTTTTTTATTATTTTTTTTACCTGCACAATAAGACTTGAGTAGCTGAATTCCACCAATTGTATCCAAAGGTCTCTCTGTTCCCTGTCACTGTAGTAAAAATATAATCTTGTGACTTGGCCTGAGAGAAGTCCACTTAAAAACTGCAAAATTTAAAATATATGTGGCTTAGAAAGAAAAGAAATATATGAATATATATATTAAGACTGTGCAGATGAAGGGATAGACACAGCTGTAAATGTGACAGAGCGAGTGCTTGTGTTGATATTGTGATTTACTTTTTTTTGGGTTTATTATTGTGTCTTTATTGTTTTTTTTTCTTTTGATAGAAAAACCCCAGCCATTAACGTTGTGATACACAGCATTATACATTGTAGCTCTAAACTTGAATGGTCACCACAAACCTGATTATAAAACAGGAGCATTACTGCACATGACAATCAGAGACGGCTCTCTGCCTTTTGCACTTATAAACTGAACTAGGTAAATACTGTAGGGAGCAGTCACTGTGTACTTTTTTTTCTTGTGTAATGTTGTGTTGACAGCAGTAAATCAAAAAAAAAAGCGATGGAAATTTGCACTGTTGAAAAGCATGTTTCACCTTCTTCTTTTTTTTTTTTTATTAAAAAGAGAAAAAAAAACACTGTTTTCTTAAAAAAAAAAAAAAACATGATTCAGTACACCCTGAATTATTGCAGCATTGATTGCTAACAGGGGGAACAAATGTTTTTGTCTGGCATTTGTTTGTTTTTTTGCGAGGGGGTGGAGTCGACTTTCTAATACCTGAAGAAGGGAGATGTAATCATTTTGTATTAAACTGTGTTGGTATACATTTCTGGAGCGGCGTTTTTATGCAGGCTCAGTTTTTAGTAGAATTTTAAAAAAATGGCAACAAAAATAAACATTGCACAATTGCCAAGGTCCCTTTAAATTCGTGTGACTTAAATAATGGTAACATACAAGGTATTTTTTTTTAATGCAAAACATGTGTCTGGCTGCATGAGAGGTCAGTCTGTCTGCTGTGGTTGAGTTGCATTGTGGTATTATGAATGTGGACCATGATACATTGATCAATATGGGGAGTTGAACTTTTTGCTGCATGGCTTAGCAACCTCTATGGACTTCAAATAGCTCATGGCTGTTATATCAGGGTCCTAGTACACCTCTCTGACCGTGTGGGTTTCTTTGTCTGGGAATATTCAGACACGAACTGGTGTCGGTTTACAATGACCACGTGTCTACAATTCCTCAAAATAAGGTATATCCACAAGTTTGCTGAGCTCTCTAGAAGTCAGCCATGGGGATGTTAGATCTTGGGATCAAAGTATCAATATAAATGAATGCCAATGATAATAAATGATGGTCATGTTTATGCAAATTATTGTGGATTATCAGCCAGTGGTTAAAAAACCTCTGCTAGTAACATAATTTAACAAGCATCAGGTCATCAGATTGCCCACTGCCCAGTGTTTGTGCATGCACATGTAGCCCAGAGATCATTAAGAGCACACAACATTAAAGGAAGGCATGGTCAGGCAAGCAGCTTGATCAATTCCAAACTTCTGCAAAGGGATGGTGGCAGTGCACTGGGAAAGACCTGGTGACAGAAATAGACTCTCACCATTAATAAACTTGGGGGATATAAGTTTTGGCCCAGGCACAGCAGTGGCCTGTAGTTTCAGTTTCTGAATGCATAGCAATGATGCAGGCCTCGTGTGCCTTGTATGCATTCCTCGCTCTATGGAGTTCTTGCAGAGCTTTGTATTCACCTACAGCGCCTGCTTTGTCAGAAAGAATTCGTGCGGATAGCCTAAAGTAATTCTAAACTCGGAAATACATTTTACAAACATGCAAATTAGTTTATTTATGCATGGAGATAGAGAGATGGGGCAGAGGGAGAGGGAGAGATTGAGAGGGAGAGAGAGAGAGAGAGAGAGAGAGAGAGAGAGAGAGAGAGAGAGAGAAAGACATTTCAACACA